GTCCCAGCTTGGCACTCTTCATCTGTATGCATCGGTCCATAAATCTATCTAGGATCGAACTAAGGACCTTCGGATTACGAAGCCAAATTTGTTGACCACTCAGCTACCGGGATGGAATCCAGTGACCAGCTCATCAATTCTAACTTCTGTCAATTCGCAATACGTTTGGTGACCCCTAGCCAATGTCGTCGGTGGGTATCTGTTGTCACATTCAACTTGGTGGACCGCAGTGATCACGAATTCTTATTAGAGCTTCGAACAACTCTGTCCTGCAGCTAGTCACTGCGCGACTATTGGATTAATCCCCAAGAGTTATTTTATAAGATTTGGCCTGTTTCATGTCTTCATCAGCGATTGGTGTCGCACTAAAATTCGCGAATCGAAAAAAGTTGGAATTCTTGAATTGGCCCAATTGGCTTAGTCCGGCTACTTTCAAGGTCGTGAGTTCGGTCGCTAAGAGGTAGGGTCGTAGGTGCGTACTACTGAAGAGACTCAGACAAGCAGGGAAACAGCTGTCCAGTACTTTCTAGCACTAATCCATAATCAAACCTGAAATATACAACCGTCTTGTCTACGGTCTACCTACACATATAAGTATATATACACAATACCTATGAAAAATACTTAATATTTTCGTGGTCGTGGTTGTTTTAATTAATAATTATTACTATTATCATTATTCTTATTTCAATAATAATCACATCTGTGCATAATTTGGTCTCATCTCTGATATTAGCAATGATAGCATTCTTTTCATGTGAATATGAAAGTAGCCTGGATAGTATATTGGTGTGTGTGTGTGTGTGGTGCAGCATAGGAATATGTATATATGTGCATTAATAATCACACATTTTTCTAGAACAAATGTACAACAGATCCATTCATTGTTGAATGAGTTACTAGTTAGTTAGTTTGTTAGTGTAGACTGTTTAATTTATATTGATTTAAACTTAGGGACATGAATTTATGTGCATGCACTTTGTGTGTATGTGTGTGTGTGTATTCGTGAGTATTAAACACTGTTATTAAACCTTGTGTTATAACAGAGCGAACAGATGTGTTCATATCTAGAATGCGTGTACTTTACACACTTTTTATTCAATTAGTGTTGACAAAGCTACCTAGCTTGACTATCGAACGTTTCAAATAAAGGACATTATTACTTCGAGTTCCAACTGAAACATACAGCTTCTTTCAGTAGGAGGACATCACCACCATTTCACCCAGTTTTCTACAGTCATTTTTATAAATGGGCTCAACGATTGTCCGTAAGCTTTCGTCTCCTCTTCTCTCCACCAGCGTCATTCTTGGACACATAATCATCTCTCCATCACCTCCGTTCGGCTTCCCACTGGGGGCTTGGTGTGTGTGATATCATTCAACAGATTCCTTAACGCGTATATCCAATCCATCGCCATTTTCTGCTGAATATTTGTTGAACGATAAATTGTTGATTGAAAAGGAGAAGAGACGTTCAGCGATGAGACTCTTTTCCACGGCGAATTCATTCACATAGCTGTACAATCGAATTTATATATAATTATTTGTGTGTCTGTGTACATGAGGTTTGTCAAAGTTAGATAATTGATCAGGTAATAAAAGAATGATCTAATATAGAAACAAGGTTAATTAGACACCAACTAAAGTAAGATTGAGTTAGTTAGTAAGTTAGATGACGTAATATAACTGACTAAAACGTTTCAACTTAGATCAGGGCAGCAACAGAGGTAATTACACCAGGTAGAGACTAAGTAGGAGTGGAATAGAGAATATGAATTTAAAAATTCAAACCAGCCATTTAAATTAGAACTGAAATTGAGCAAATAAGTTGGATGACGTATGATGGGGTTATGCGCATTCAATCGAAATACGCACACATACAGAGGCATTTTGACGTAGCGTATCTCAGATCATTAAACCATTATCCTTGTTTTACAAACGATATATGGCTTATAATTAAGGGTTTTTTTGTATTTCCCAATGAATGAAAAACAAAATGATATTGTTGACGCTTCTACTGACGTTTCGCTATTCACCATTGCTCCTGCTAATAGCTTTATCAAAGTATCATTCTTAAAGCAGAATTTACAAAATCTCATCTTATATATTACAACTTAATCGTCGTTCCTCAGCACGAGGTCATTTTTGCGTTGTCAAACTGACCAATCAGTTAAGATAACAAAACCAGGTGGGTGTAGATTATTGGATTTGATAAGTGTGTAAAATTGTAAAAGCAGCCTGCTTATCATATTTGTGTTGACTTTGTCATCCGATAACCTGTTGTAACCAGGTCAAATTCTGTTTTAGTTCATAATTCCTATTCAGCGCAGACAATTTCGACTCCATTTGATATGGGTTGCTTCTGATGGTATTAGACGTTCTTTGTGATTTCTGAAATGCTTTTTCTGGATGATGATTTTCAATATTGTCAAAATCAGTTTTGTGACCTGATTCTATAGCGTAGCGTGTGTACGACCTATGGCCGATGATTTTTCAAGCTTTTCTACTTCAACTGTATTTCTCGGTGATCGAACAGAGGCGGCTCTACGGTGTTCATTTCTTCTGATTACCTTGATTTCTCTCTGGCGATGTTTGTCCGATATATACCCCATCACACTACAAGCATTTTATTTTGCAGACGCAACCAGATAGAGCATCCTTAGGGATTTAGTCTTTTACATGGACAAGGTTGCTTGGTAGCGTGTGTGTCTGATATTTCAAAGAAAATTCTGATGTTGTGCTTGTAAAGTACTCCTCTGATATCATCTAACGTCTCTGGTCTATATGGAATGACGACTGTTGAGATCCATCCATTTTTTCGGAATACGTTTTCGACCATATCGAATGTCAGTGCTGATTTTGTTGATGAAGTTCTTTGGGTAGTTGTTTTGCGTGACAGTCTCAATGATTTTTTAATATTTCTTCTGATATAGCCCAAGATTTTTTTCAAACTGTTAAAAGTGAACTTTGGTTTGGATGTATATATAATGTATGTGATATATGGCTAACTTCATCGTTTTGTTTTTTAGTACTTTCAACCTGATCTTCCAAGTTTTTACTTTGTGATGATACTCTTTCTGATATCTTTAACCCTATCTTTACATTATAATGTTTTATTGCATCAGTGGATTGACTGTAAAGCACAGTGGTGTAATGATAAATCTTTAGAAGTAATTTTGGAATGTAGAATAAGCATATATATATATATATATATATATATATATATATATATATATATATATATATATATATATATCAGTATATATAGTTGGTGTGTTGCATAGAAACATGAGATTTTAAAAAATATCGTTTCATTATTTAACTACAGGTTATTTTTAGTTATTTGAGTGTGTGTATGTGCCAAAAATGCTGTAATCTGTTTATGTTAGTAATAATAATATCAATATCAATATCTTAAATAGTTGGTTGGTAGGGATTAGATTTGTTTTTTACGAGTTAGTCACGGATTCTGATATCAGTTGGAGAACCATTGAAAACCAGCACCAGAGTACTGAACAGCTGTTTCGTCAGCCTAGTTTGGGAATCATCGTCAGTACTTGTGTTCGAACCCCGATAAATCACGAATTGGTAGAAGTTCGAATTCAAGGGCTGACTAGTGAATCGAGTCCCAATGGCTAAATGGTATACAAGCTAGCTCGCTTTGTAACCCGGAAGATTCAGGGGCCAACCCCCCGAGGTGGTTGCATACTGCCGATGATTCCCATACTAGGCTGAACAAACAGCTGCCCAGTACTCTGGTTCTGGTTTTTAATGATTCTCTAACTGATATCGATCCGTGATCAACTCCTAAAAAAGTATCAATATTATTATATATTCACTCTCTCTCTCTTCCTGCTTCCCTCCCTTTTACCCTAAGTATATATATATATATATATATATATATATATATATATATATATATATATATGTAATAGGGATTGCGTAGTTACGATGGCATGCAAATACAGACAAGGAAGACACGTACACCTTTTTTCTAAACTACCAACCTCCCCCAGTTATCTTACTTTTGCACACATACACTCTTCGATCCACCTTGTCACCAACTAACTAACTGAGTATCTGCAGCATAGAACTTTCCACATAAATATAGCACTTCAAGTTGCCATACTCCGTGTAGCACATACAGAGGTAGAGAAAAGACAAAGGGATGAAAAGACAATCAAAGAAACTATAATGAACAGGAATGTGCTAGAAAAAAAGGGTAGTGGCATGGCAGTGAACCGTTAGACCAACAAATATATGCCAAAGAAAATGGAGATGAAATGGAAAGATGCTGAAAAAAGAGACCGTTGAGTGCCATCATGCATAAGACAACGCCTCGGGTGGAACCTCTGTATGAAACCGTAAGTTAGGTGTGTGAGAGGAGGTGAGATCTTATAGACAAACGGGCTGGGGGATCAACCAAAGACGACTGCAGATAACAAGATGAAATAGGGGCGTTTTGTTGAAGCTCTTTGTTACACTTGAAACCTAAGTGTATTAAAGTATTAAAGAGAATATTGATTATTTAACTGGTGGATGGTGACTAACAGTGGAATCCAGGATAACGCTCATTTCGTCCCGTTTGGAACTCGTCATATGGACGTACCTGCATTTTCCGGTGAGTGATGATGTTCCCACCGAGGCTCGAACCCAGTGCCCATAGTTTCAAACTCCAAAGCGTTATCCACTAGACCACTTGGGCGACGAGAGCAGCCTTTTGTGCAACGGCTCTCAAACAGGAAGAAATACGCTATATCCTGGATTCCACTGCTAGTCACCATCCACCGATTCAATTGTAATCAAATGATGACCAGACATCGTCGAAGCCTCTGCACAAGAAGCCAACAGACATGTCAACCTAAGACCTAGCACTTCGGTCTAATCAATCGACGGGAAAATCTCAAATTCAATTAAAATACAGATTATTATTATTATTTCAATCGAATATTGTTCATTTATATTTTTCCCTTTCTTTTCTTTTCTTTTCTGCTTTCAAGTACACTCAACCAATTGCAGAAGGTATCAGCTTTACTTCAAACTGTACGCACAACGTCAATAATTCATCGTCGACAACACCAAATATCTGTGTTTCGCCATCATCACATGATATCGATAGTGTTGTCAACAGTATTGGCAGTGCTAATATCCATGATGCTGATTATTATGCTGATGAAGAGAAGACAGGAAGAAGAATTCTACACGACAATACTTCAATAAATCCTGCTCGATTAGATTCTGTCATTCCTAGTAGTGATAGCATAACAACTAATACTAATAAGAGTATTAGTAATAGTAATGGTAGTAGTAGTAAGGCATCTATGATTAATCCTCCTTCCACAACAACGACTAATCCTCCTCCTTCATCTGCTGTTTCTCAACAACCATCTACTCATCATATGATGTCAAAAAGTACTACTGTGTTGGGTACCAATAGTGCAACTGTTAATTCTACGACTACTAATACTGTTAATACTGACAGTAACAATAATAATAATAATAATAATAATAATGGTTGCACAACCAATACACTAGAACGTGTTAATGTAAATAAAAAGTATAAGTCTAAAATGTCTGATGATATGATACAAGAAAAGTTAAGAATGATTGTTAGTATTGGTGATCCGAATAGAAAATATCAAAGATTAGAAAAAATTGGTCAAGGGTAAGTTGTCACCTATCCGTTTAATAACATTAATAATAATAATAATAATAATAATAATAATAATAATTTGTTTATGTGTCTCTTCATTTCATCTGTTTACATTGGCGTTGTTGTGCGTTTTTTTACACACACACACACACACACACACACACACACAATTTGTTTTTCGAATTTGACCATGGATTGATATCAGTGTTAGAGAGAATCATTGAAAACCAACCAGAGAGAGTACTGGACAGCTATTTCATCTTATGCTTTACTAGTGATTTGTTACAGCACGAAGTTTCTTTGAGTGTTCTAGTGAGAACTTGGTGACCAGTGAGATTCATTTAGTCGGAAGTAGGACTGGATTTCCTACCGATGATATTGGCTTGTGCCAGTCGCGCTAAAAATCACGAATTGATAGAAGTTAAAATTTATGGGCTGGTCATTGAATCAGGTCCCCCACCCTGTGGTGTGTGCGTAATGTCGATGATTTCCAAACTAGGCTGTCTGACCGATGAGTGCTACCTTGACGTGGTGGTCGGGCTTGCACATCGCAATGACCCAACAAGCTACACTCTGGCTGGAACTATTGTTCCTGCAGGTCCATACCAGGAATATTGTTAGGAAGGCGATTAGACTAAAAGCAGTTACCGGCATAGTGTGAGAATTTTTTTTACACTGTGCTGAGGGTCTGTTAGCAAACAGGAATGTAACAGAAATGAGGTGTTTCCCTCAGATGACCAGCATGCCAGCCAGTTATTCTGTCTTGTCTCTCCACTCTGGAAAGAGGGGTTTAGAAAAGGTGTTGGTTTTCAATGGTTCTCTAAGTGATATCAATCCGTGGTCAAACTCGAAAAACATATCAACTCTTGACAATTTGTTTTTTTTAATAAAGGTGTGACAATTGTGTTTTGTACACAATTATCCAAATGGGAATTTGTTTTTTTTTTTGGCCTTCACTTTTTTGAAGCCATAAAACACTTTGAATTCATTTAAGAAAATTTTTTTACCCCGAATGATGTTTGTTGTTCCAAGTAAACAAGGTCAAATTGTTAGGAGAGGGTGATGTTATTTATTTATTTTCCTGTAAATATCTTCTGACTAAAAATGTTGTTATAAGATCGTAGGATATGGGTGTGTGTGTGTGTGTGCGTGTAAGTGTTCATACCCTACACCCTTGTTCAACAACTGTTGTCTTAAACTTTCTTGTAATTTCCTAGTGTACGTTGCCAAATACACACACATACACATGCATACACATACGCATACGTCCTAAGTTCGATTCCCAGTCAATACACCCTTGACCCTAGCCTACTACACGATATTAAGCTATGACTGACTGGTTTCAAAAAGTAATAAATGCAATAATAATGCAAAGTAAATGCAAAATAGAGATAGTAAACAGAAATATGAGGCCAAAAGAATAGTAATATCGAAGCACCATATAGATTTATTGGAAACTATAAGTCACAAGGAGTGGATGCATATGCACCAGCCATATACGATAACGAGGATTTTGAGCCATATCACCAATTGTCTCCAGCCTTCATTGGTTTTACCATCCAGAGGACCCCAACCAGCCAGTCAGGAAGTCTACACCTCCCTCTCTACGTGGCTGGCTTAAACTGACTATTGTGGATTTCATTGACTGATGAAGCCATGTTTTGATTTCCCCACCAATCTAGTCCAGCCTATATCAGTCATCTAACATTGCTTGTTGTTGAGGAAGACGGTGGCTAGTCATAAGAAGACAGAAATTTGGCTGTGATGAGGCTAGCACCCCCATTCCCCCAAAAAGGCGACATCACCACAGTTACTGAAAACTCACAGCTTGGAACCCTGTGTATGTCTCACTTGATGGGCAATGGAATGGAAGAAAACACACCACCAAAGTCACCTAGAACAGTCGGCAAGAATAGTGTGGTATATATATTACAAAAGGGTGTAGGATTACTATTGTTAAAAAAGTCGTAACTATTGATGATTATGATAAGTTCCATGGTGATGACGTGAATATATTATTTATGTTGAAATACTTATTTGAAAGTCAATTGTGTTCCTTTTTTCAATCTCTATAATGGGTTGGATATAGAAGAGGTATGTTAAAAAAAATAGACTCCTTGACCTTAATCCTATGCCATTTGGCTCATAAACACTTGGTATACATATGACATATGAATCTAGCCTCATGCTAACAAGTATGCTTTGGCGGTTTAACGGTGGAACACTCGTCAACCATTCATTTGGTGTGAGTTCGATTCCAGGTCAACGGACTCCCAGTTCACTAGCCAGTAGCGGTAAACCTGGAAGGTGATTGATTGGGAGGCATGGGACTAGCAACCCCAACCCGACTTACAAAACTCTACCTCATGAAGCCGTATGTTAAATTTGGAATTCAGAGAATGAACAAACATGCACAAGTTATGCTTGAGTGATGATTGGTGTTAAACGGCGATGGGTTCGAATCGCAGAGAGGATATGAGAGTCCCTTCAAGATTGTATATACATCTTGCTGACTGGTAAGTGCCAACTAACTTGAAGCCGAGGTCTGAGGTCTGTCTGTCAATTGCCCCTAAATATCTAATGATAACAATTCAAATGGGCTTTTTTGTACACTGCCGTGGTGCATAAAATTCGCATCTTTTACTTCTTAAGTTTAGTAATACTGTGGTCAACAATTTACGTCAGTGTTACTTCCTGAATCGTTGTCATGAGAAAAAAACAATAACAAAGCTTAACCTTGAGGAACTCACCAACCAATCACATCAGACTTAACGTCTCCAAATACGAATCACAGAGATATATGGCTTAACTTTATAAGAAACAGCCACAAGCAATACAGAATAACCTCCAGCAAGAAAGCAACCAACCAGAAAACGTCGCTTCTCCTCTAACAATAACGCTAATAATAATCCACATAAAAATCTATAAATATCTCTTGATTTTCTCAATCAACGATCTGTTGCCTGGCCATTGTCTTCCATCGTTACAATACTACTTAAATGTTATGTAAAACTTTTCTTATTTACAAGCGTGTATGTGTGTGTTACAGTTGATAACTAGTCTAGTGTGAAATTTTGAGGGCTTAAAACTTTTAGCTATTATTCCACACAGTTGATCGTAGTACTTAAATAAGGGGAAGAAATGTAGAACACGTATTTGGTGACTTTTCTTTACATTGCGTCCAATATCATACACTTATCTTCACTTCTAGCTAACCGTCAGAACATTGTTGGACTATTTGAAATCAATTCATGACAATTTTAAACGAGATTATTTCAAGAAAATGTTTGTAATCAGCTGCTGTTGACTGTTTCTCTTCAACTGACATCTATAGGTAGAGTAAACTGTTTTTGAAGTCTTCAAGTGTGTAGTGTGTAGCGGATTTGTTTGACTTGTGGTTATAGTTCATCATGAAATCACCGAAATCGGTTGGAGAGCTACCGAAGACATGGAGCACTGAACATAAGTGTTTCGCCCTTACTTGGGACTTTTCAGTAGTTCAGTTCAGCAGTTCAATAGTAGTGACTTCAGTTCGAATGCTGACTGTGAAGCATTCCTAAACATGGCTTAACTTATTAGTGAGCCTAGAAAAGAGAGAATGTTAGAGTTTAGGCTGACTTAATACCATTGTAACTGAGGCCTCAAAAACCTGAATTTCTTTGTTCCGCTTCAAACACAAAGGAAAGAAACTATAAGCAGTACGCATCTATGACCCTTACAGGGGTTGGAACCCAAGGTTTCCAGATTACGAGATGAATATGCTATCTTTTAGTCCGCGGAAATGAATTCAGTGGCTCATGAACTCTAACTTACACTAACCAATTCGTGATATTCACTGTCAGCACCGGATAATGTCAGGACTGGCAACTGGCCCTATTCAGGTGCGTACTTACCTGGGGTCCTAGTGGGAAGTCGTGACCATTAGGGTGCAGCAGGGTCGAGTGTGAGGACAAATACTCGCCGAAGGCATTGGTTAGCGGTTGCGCTCTATCGTGAATTGGCAGAAGTTGGAATTCATGGGCCATTGGATCAGATCCTAATGGCTTATGAATGGTCTACGAGCTCGCTAGTCTTGTAACCAGAAGATCCTGGGTTCGAACCCCCCGTGGTGGGTGCGTACTGCTGAAGAATCCCAAACTAGGCTGACGAAACATCTGGATGTCCAGTACTCCCAGGTGGTTTTCCAATGGTTCTCTAACCAACAGATGTCAGCTCATGATGAAATCCTGTAACGAATCAATCAAATCCCTACAAACCAATACTTAAAACCAAGAATTCTTCTTCCGCTGATGAATTTTCTTTTACATGATGTTTCTCTAAACTAGAAGTGGTGAAGTACTTTTAACTCATGCAGATGATATTGCTGTAGTGTTGTGTTCTCTTGGCTGGTTGTTTTAAATTTGCTGGAGTCTCCATCGCTATTTTTATTTCTGAAGTCAAAAAGCACACTGATATAATAAAATGGCTCTCTGGAGTGTAAATTCTTGGGCGATTGGATTCCAATACCCATCCATCTCGAGTGGTTGAATGGTCGACGGGTTAATGTTGAATTATAGTCCAGATGCACGAGGGAAAGGTCATGGACAGAGATGTACTTTTGAAGAGTCCCATATTAGGACAAAACAGGCATTCAGTACTATCTAGTTTAATAGTAATTCCCTCTAAATGATGTCGGTTTTTGAGGCAACACTGACATAGATCAGTTTTATCAAAATAATGCAAAGCAGTGTACATGAATAAAAGGTCAAAATATATTTGAATTTAGCACAAAAGTGCATCTGTTCAAATTGCCATAAATCAACAAAGGTTCACATAAAACCGGGCAGAAGGAATGTAATGAAATGTGTGTCGGTGGCACAGTGGTTAGAATTCTCGTCGACCATGCACATGGTCCGAGGTTCGATCCCCTGCCGACGCACACCTGATATCTATGGTCGGCCTGCGAAATTTGGGCTACCGATATCCATGCTGAAAATTCCATACTTGTACCGAAAATACGGTGTGGAATCAAG